GGCCTTTAAAAAATGTGTATTAGTGTTCTGTCTGCATATGTGTAAGTGCACCACATGCATGCAATGCCCATAGATGTCAATAAAGGGCATTGGATTCCTTGGAAATGGAGTTATGGAAGTTGTGAATTGTCGTGTGGGTACTGGGAACCAAAACTAGATACTCTGCAAAAACAACCAGTGCTCTTAATTGCTAGACCATCTCTTCAGCTCCATGTTGTGCACTTTTGAGACAGGGTCTTGTTGTATAGCCCAGGCTGGTCTGAAAGTTGTAATCTCCCCACCTCTGTATCCTGAGTGCTGGAATTGCAGGCATGCAGTACCACACTGGCACTAGTCTTTCTTTTCAGTATTTACATCTACACATTTTTGCCCACTTTCTGACAGTATACAAAATCTGACATGCAGCATTTTCATAGTAATTAAATTTCAGCTAGTTATAATTTTAACCATAATTTTGTCTTTGACCAATGAGCTACTTAAATTGCTATAAGATTTTCAAATTTCCAGAACCTGAGCTATATGTCATCTGATTCAGTTGCATTGTGCTAAGGAAAATAGCCTGTATGTCCCCTGTCCTTTGACATTTTTGAGATTTACCCTGTGGCCTACTATGTGGCATTTGGGGTGGTTAGAGGTGAATGTGGCTTGAATGCTTGACAAAGGGCTGGTTTCTAATGGTTGGGTGGAGAGTTCTGCATCAGTCTCATAACTTATCTGTGTGTCAGATCTCCTCATCTTTAATTTTTGTGAATATTCCATAATTCTGGTGTTTTGACAGTTCTTCCCAGTTTGTATGGAAGGCACACATGTGAGTAATGAATCCCTGGACTGGGGCTGGGAGTGCACGGAAAAGGCAGGGGACTCCTTGGCATGACAGTGCAGGGGGTGAGGTGGCAGCTTGGGTACAGGGTACAGCATCAGAACTGCTAGAACAGGGCTCTCTGCTGACTTGCTGTGAGGTGAGTACTCTAGCTTCAAGCAATTTCTGTATCATTTCCATCTGTTGGATGAGAAGCTGGGCTGGCCGGGCCAGGGTCTGACTTCTCTATTCAATAACCATGATTCTGAGCTTATGCTGTATGGGTGCTAGGTGAGACTCTCTAGCCAGTGCCCTCAAAGACTTGCCAGCTAGTCTAGTGGGAGCCATCCTAATACGTGTGTGTGTGTGTGTGTGTGTGTGTGTGTGTGTGACAGAGAGTCTTATGTTGTTCATGATAGGCATACAGGATAGGGCACTTATACATGCTGAGGGTATCACAGCACACCAGGAGGGCAAGGCTGCAGCCTCAAGGAATGGCAGCCAGGCATCAGGCATTCTGGAAAGGCTCTAGCCTATTGGATGCCTTTGGCCTCTGGGCTCCACTTCTCCATTCTAGCAGGCAGCAGACTTTGATTTTCCAGCTCAGGAAGCTGTGGTAGGTGAAAAGCAGAAGTGGTCAAAGCTTCCTGGGTGTTTCTTTCCCTCCTGGGTGGCATGGACAAGTCAAGCCCTGGAGGAAGTTTCAAGAGGCTGGTGTCCAAGATAACTGACTATGTGGAATCACTTGAAAGCTGGTTGCCAACATTGGAAAAGGAGTGCTTTCACATAAAGTAGAACCACTTGGTACATCTGAAAACTCTGGTTCTCACCTAAACACAGCTCTGTCAGTCCCCACACACTATCTTCAGGTTCTATCTGTACTGTCCTTTCTTATAGCACACTTAGAGCAGATAGAGTGAAATTATACTATGGACTTCCACGAATAGGAGGAATATTTTAAAGTCTACAGGACTGCAGAATGTGTGTCCCTGGATAGGACTCCTATATTAAACTTCACCCATCCACGGCTCAGGGACCATTGCGGACGAGGGGACGGAAAGATTGTAAGAGCCAGGGCTGATGCATCAACACAGGGAAGCAGAGGCTTTGAGACCACTGGAAACGTGTTCGTGTGAACTTGTAGCAATGCTGACAGCATCTGTAAGACTTATGCTGATTTAATCAGACAAACTCAGCATGGAGTGGGAGAAATGGGCAGCAGGCCCCAACCCTAGCCAAGGAACTATTGACAAATGATTACTGTAAGGTGAGGAAGAGTAGATAACCTTTAAGGGAGTGAGTCTAAATAGTCTGACTAGACTCTAATGGATGAACTTGCATAAAGGGACACCTGGATAGAAACTTGACCAGATAGGACTTAACAAATTTGAAAGAATACCTGAAATCTGGTGGTGGTGGAGTTTAAGGGGTGGGGAGGGGGTCTAAATTTGATTAAGATGTATTATACGACATGTACAAGAACTTAATAAAATGTTAAAAATGGAAAACAAAGAAATTTTTTGAGTATTTTTATCTATCTATCTATCTATCTATCTATCTATCTATCTATCTATCATCTATCTATTTATTGGTCTTTTTGAAGCAGGGTCTCCCTGTAAGCCCCAGCTGTCCTGGAACTCACTATGTAGACCAGGCTGGCCTTGAACTCACAGAGATCTGCGTGCTTCTACCTCCCAAGTGCTGGGACTATAGGCACGCGCCATCACGCCTGGCTTGTTTTAATTTTTTATTTTTATCATGTTGGGGATCAAATCCAGAACCTTGTGCATGCCAGGTAAGTGCTCTACCACAGAGCTACACACCCAACTCTTATTTTTGCTGTTTTGGGGTGGGGTTTTTTGTATTTCGGTTTTTTGGAAGAGTTTCACCATGTAGCTGAATTTAGCCTGGAACTTGCAAACCTCTTGCCTCAGCCTCCCTGAGTGCTGGGATTACAGGTGTTCAGCATCTCACCAGACTGGATATACTTCTTGATGAAGGTGAAAACTGATCTTATTTTCAGTAAGTAAATAAATAAAATAAAATGTGTGTGTGTGGGGGGGAAGGATAGAACTTTAAGACACTAAAATGAACTAAATTGTTTTGCTAGAACATGATCTCTCTCCCTTTCATGCCCAGAAAGAACAAAAGTAAGTGACTGTGTCAAAGGAGGTAGTGGACATCTGTCCATCAGGGCAATCTGACAATCTCTATTTGGACAGCTGGACCTTTGGGGTAGGTGTCAAAGGCTGCCAGGAAGGTGGCACAGGCTGCTGGCCGAGTGCCTGGGTTCAAGCCAGCCCTGAGGGCCACCTCTGTGTGGACTTGGGTATGTCATACACCTCCTGTGGTTTGGTTTCTTCCTCTGTCAGAGGCTGGCCAGAGTTAATAGCCAACACAGGAAGCGATGATGGGGGTCATGCAACTGCCATGTCCTCAGAGAGCCTCAGGCCCGGGAAGAAGTGCTTCAGTAGCTGGCTGTTATTCCCAGAGGTTAACAAGGGACAGTTCATGCCTGTCAGCTCAGTTGGAGGCTCTAGACTTGACATCATGTTGCTTTAGACTTTAAAAAGTGGCATTTCTTGGGGGCTGGAGAGATAGCTCAGCGATTAAGAACACTGACTGTTCTTGCAGAAGAACTGGGTTTGAATCTCTTCACCCACGTGGCAGCTAACATCTGTCCATAACGCCAGTTCCAAGGGATCTGACAGTCCCTTCTGTCCTTCACGGACATTGCATGACACGGGTGCACTTACCTACATGCAGGTAATACACACATACACATAAAATAAAAATAATAAAATATTAAACAAAAATTTTTTAAAAAGTGGCATTTCTTGCACATTGTACTAGTTGAGCCTGTATTGATAGCAAATTCCCTCCAAGATGGACAACTGCACTTGACTTTGTAAACTTGAGTGGGAAAAAAGTTGCATCCATGTTCTCTGACCTTGAAAGGAAGCCTAACACTTCCAAAAGGGAAGAAGAGTGTGGCACACAAACCGCAGTGATGTTACCTTACAGGTGGCTATTCTGGGCAGAAGTCAGGTATTTTCCTTTGTGATCCTGCCTTTGCAGATAACTAAATATCCTTTGCAAGCATGGAGATGGCACCTGCCATTTAATCTATGACTGGACCCTATTGTTTCCCGTATAGGGAAAGGAGCCCACACACTTCTCTCTCACAGGTTCATTTAAAAAATTTAAATGTAAATATACCTATGTTTCGATGTTTCTGACTTATTTTACAATCCTTATCTGCTTTAATTTGGGCATTTAAAACTGTTACTCAGATGGCCCTGGTTGCATACATCTGTAATCCCAGCATTTGGGAGGTTGAGGCAGGAGATTAAGAGTTCAAGTCCAGCCTGGGCCACACAGTGAACTTTGTCTCAAAAACCCAAGAGACATGAATGTAGCTCAGAGATACAGTCTGTCTAGTGTGCACAAGGACACTGGGTTTGATCCCAGTGTCGCAAAACCTGCTCCTTTGAGAGGACACTAATCAACCTCCCTGGATTTAGAAGGGCCTATGGCATAAATAGAAAGACAGGGTTGAGCTGAGTGTGGTGGCTTGTACCTTTAATCTCACCACTCAGGAGGCAAAGGTAGGTGGATCTCTGTGAGATCGAGGCTAGCCTGGGCTACATAGCCAGTTCCAGGCCAGCTGGGGTTACATGGAGACACATTGTCTCAAAAAAAGAAAGAAGGAAAGAAAGAGAAATAAAGAAAAAGGAAGGAAGGAAGGAAGGAAGGAAGGAAGGAAGGAAGGAAGGAAGGAAGGAAGGAAGGGTTGAAGAGTAAGCTGGGGGTAAGGGGCAGAATTTCTGTTCCAGCCTCAAGGCTGAGGGGCTACTGCAAGGTCTGGGTTCCAGGATGCACTTGACCTACCAGTAGGGGTCTTTGGGTAGAAAACCACCCTGAGGCCACACTTCAGACCTCCAGTTATGGGGAGGGTGGCAGGGGAAAACTTATGGAGGGTACTTCCGCAACCCGTGGTGAACCTTGGTGCACCTGCTCCCTCCCACCCACAGCAAGGCAAGCAGAAGCCAAATAACAAGGGCTTCCTTCTCCTCTGCCTGTAGAGAACTGAAAGGAACCTACAGCCTCTGGCTGTGGCTGTAGCTTCCTTCCTTGTCAGTCACGTGGGGCTTGGTTCCTTTCCCTTGGAGCCTGGGGTCACACAGCTCACTGCCTGCCTTGCCAGGAGCCAGGACAGAGCACCAGCATGAGTTCTGGGGTCCACATGCTGAGAGTTCTCCTCTTCCTCTTGGGTAAGTGGGGAGAGGGTAGAAATGGGGTGGATGTGACCCTTTGCCACCGTGGCAGCCTAGTGAGCACATACTGGACTGGAGACCCATGGGTCTTCATCTCTGAGGCAGGGATATGTTCTTCCAGACAGATGGCCTTTCTGACTTGGATTTGACAGTATGTAATGATACTTTCATTGCTTTTCAACTGCTACTTACAGATAAATGCTGGGCTGAGGGAGAAGGGGAAAGGCTGTGGAGAGGAGCTGCAGGCTTGGGATCTAGAATAGTCAGTTTCTAGATTTTTTATTGCTTACAAACTAGAATGTGCTTCAGACACTGTGGAAGAAAGCAAATATTTGTATATTTACTTTATAGAATTGTGAGAGAACTGAGTTAAACTTAAGTGACTCAAATCAAGATAATTACACAGAAAGAGAAAACAGGCAGGCGGTGCTGCTGCCCAGGTCATGGTGACTAAGTGTCATTAGACAGTGGGGTGGACCCTGCCACTCAGAGCAATCTTTGTTTTTTAAAAATCATTTTACTGCTGAGCAATAAAAGATGAAAGAAAGGAAAGAGTCAGGAGTCAAGTGGGACCAACCGGAAAGGGAAAAATAAAAGAAACACCCAGAACTGGAGACAAGTTTTGCATGATTTGTTAGAAACATGTAGATGGCGACAGGCAGTAATGGGGGCGACATGGGATTTGAGAAAGTCCCTTTGACCTTTTGATGTAACTGTCATTTCTTTGGAAAGGCAGTGGCTGAATGTTTAATAATTCCTTTCCTGGACGTTGCCCTGGACAACATGGAAAGGCAAACAGTCTGCCTTTCCCAAGGCAGACCTCCACGTGAGCCTGCGGCAGGCAGAGCTAGTGAAGACCTGGGTCTTGGGAGTTAGCTAGGTGTCAAGTCAGACACCCTCAGTTTACCCATGGCCAGGAGTCCCTGATAGCAGAGAGAGAGAGCAGAGCCAACAAGCAGGAATTAAGGTGCAGAGGGCAGTTAAACTGTTCCTGCAGAGCAAAGGGGCAGAACTCAGCAGAAATTCTGACATTGGTTTCTGCTTTGAGCGAATACAAAGACACAAACCAGTTTGTCCCCAGGGCAAAAAAGGAAGTTTAAGAAACCCAAATTATATTAACAGGCAATTCACTAATGAATTATAGACAATAAGCTCTGAAGATATTCAAACAGACAAATAATAAAAGAAATAATAATACATGGCTTTTCTGAGTGCTTTTTGATGTGCCGAGTACCCGGCTGAAATTTATCTTAGCTCAACCAACCCCACTACCCTCTGTTACCACGACTTCCAGATAAGGGATGCCTGCTTTATAGTGCTTTCATATACAGGTGGAGAGGGAGTGCTAAACTGCCAGAATGTGAATTTTTGATCTATGTGCCAGCGCAGATAAATTAAGCAAGCAAGTACCTTATCTGTGCTCAGTTTTCTCCTCTACCAGGTGGGGGTAACCATCCAACCCACCTTCCAGGGCTGTTGAGGGAATAAAATCTGTTCCCACCTTCAAATTACTTAGCACAGCATCTGACAGGTGGTCCACTGTCAAGATCTGGCTTTAGGAGACTGATTCAACTTCACAGGGGGCAATTTGGAAAAAAGAAAGCTGCTTACAACTTTTGACCCAGAAACTCCATGTCAAAGAATTTATCCTAATGAATCAATGTGGTAAAAAATTCTCAAAATGTTTAATGGACTGCTCTCCAGCACAGCTAATGTCATAATAAAAAAACATTTGTAGGAATATGACAAACCAATGACCCCCTAATGTTCCTATCATATCTCATATGCTGAGATGAAAGACAGGACTTTCTAGGAACCAACTTGGATGGAGCAGAGGAACAATGTGACAGTTATGGAGCCAAAGTCATGCAGGTAGAGTTGGGAATTGTGTGTTTTCTTACCTGCCTCCCAAAATTGAATGGAAGGAAATACAAAATGATTATTAGTACCTTTTGCTCTTCTCAGTAAGTAGGATTGTGGGGTGTTTTCTTTTAGTTTCATTCTATTGGGACTTTATAATGATGTATTCCTTATTACAATAAATACATATATGGATAAACTGTGACACAATAGCCTATTAAAGCAAGTTAAAAGGGAAAAATGAGTTTAATTTATTGAATATGAAAAGAACCTAGAGAATTATATAGTAGAATCTGCCATCAAAGGGCCTGTCAGGTGTATGTGAACTGTGCCTGAGGGACCTTGAGGGGATCTGAAGGGCTGTCTCTGCCCATCGCCCTGTAATGTCTAGACTCACACGTGTGAGGAGCCGACCAGGGACCCCATGTGACAGTTCTCACATACGATAAATGGAGAGCTACTGAAAAATGACTTTTGAATTAAAAAAATTATTGTGGTGTATGTGTGTGTGTGTGTGTGTGTGTGTGTGTGTGTTGCATGCATATCATGGTCCATGTTAGATAAGTCAAAGGAGAACTTGTGGGAGTCTGTTCCCTCCTTCCACTTTGTAGCTTCTGGGAATCGACCTCAGGTCCCCAGTCTTGGTGGCAAGCACCTTTACTGGTTGAACCATTGAAATTGGCTTCTTTTGAATACTTTGAGTCGCCCCTTTTCCCTTTCTCTTTTGAGAATCTTGCTATGTAGCTCAGGCTGGCCTGGACCTTGAATTCCTCCATCTTCAGCCTTCTAAATGCTAAGATTACAGGTGTGCACCCGACTCTAAAGACGTGTTTTAAATCTAGATTATGTAATAAAAAATCCATAGAACCAACACCCTGAACTAACAGGCATTAAAATTTTTTTGATTTAAAAGGTATGTCTATCCAAAGCCAACACATTCATAGAATAAACATCAGCTCTAGAGGTCTTTCCCACTGGATTTCTCTCCTTGCTGTCCACTGGGAACATCCCACTGACTTGGCTGGGCTTTATAGCAGTCATTTTTCTTGCTGGGACAGTCTAACAAAGGAAACTCAAGGACAGAAAGGTTTATTTTGGCTCACAGATTGAGGTTAGATTGCTCTGGAAACATCCCCATAGATACAACCTGAGAATTGTCTCCTGGGTGAGTCTAAACCCCTTCTAGTTGGCAATTAGGATTAACCATCGCAGGCTTCTTTCTTGTGTGGCTTTAAAAGCTTTGCAGGAATCCATATGGCCTAGTCAACTGGTTGCTCTATCGCCTATTCTCACATTGTGGTTCAAATCCATTCATTTCACCTATTCTACAAACCTCTACTGAAACACTCTATCATTTACCCACTTATTTGTCCATTACCCCATATGCATGGAATTTAGCTGTTGTTATTTGGTGGTGGTGGTGGTGGTGGTATGTGCTGGGATTTGAACTCAGGGCTTTGTGTATACTAGGTAAGCACTATGCTGCTGAGCTACACACCCAGCCCATGATGGAATTTTTATTGCTTCTAACAGTGTATGTTGTGTATGTGTGTTGCATGTGTACATGTGGTGTATGTGTGTGGTATATGCATGAGTGTGCATATGCACACACCCATATTTTCAGAGGCCAAAGCAGGATGTTAGGTGTCTTTGTCTGTCACCCTCTGCCTTATTGCTTTGAGACAGTCTGTCACTAAACTGGAAGCTCACCATTTTGCCTAGACTGGCCAGATAGCTCTTAGGAGCTGCCCATTTCTTAGGAGCTGCCCATTTCTATCCCCAGCATTAGGGTTGCAGGTAGGCCAGCCATGCCGATTTATTTGGGTGCTGGGGATTCAAACCCAAATCCTCATGCTTGCCGTTGTGAGCCATATCCCTAACCACGTCTACCTTTCTTACCAATAATCATTGTTGTGAAGAGCCCCCCTTTGCCTTTCTTCACACACATACACACACGCACACGCACACACACACACACATACACACACACACACACCTCTTTTCCTAGTGGGCAGCTGTAGATGGGGCATGGACGCACGCGCACACACACACGCACACGCACACGCACGCGCACACGCACACGCACACGCACACACACACACACACACCTCTTTTCCTAGTGGGCAGCTGTAGATGGGGCATGGCCATGTGTGTGTATGTGCAGCGTCCTCCTTCAATTGGATATCATGAAATCACTCTCCACCAGTGGGATATAGACACAGCTGGAGCTACATATACGGTAATGCTAAATATTATCAGAATTATCAGCTTTTGCCAAGTAGAGGGGTGTAAAATATTATCTCAAAGTTTTTAGGTTGTGGGTTCCCAGTTACTAGTGAGATTAACCCTTTTCTCTCCATTTACAAGATAGCCAATATTCTTTTTCTGTAAAATTTCTATTATATACATTTTCCTGAGCTTTATTAGTTATTGGTCTTTTATGTATTGTTTCTGGATATTAATTATTTGCCCACCTCCATGTTGCACATGTCTTTTCCTGGTGTTATTGTTCATCTCCTGTCATGTTGTGTTTTGCCAGAAGTCCAAAAATGTAATGGAAGCAAATGCATATATCTATTCTTTCATGTGTGTGTATTTGGCTTTTTTCTGTCTTGCTCGCCTGGAAAGTTTTTATTTAACTTGACACAACCAATTGTCATGTAAGAAGAGGGAGTTTCAATTGAAGGATTTCCCAGATCAGACTGGCCTGTGGTTATGTCTGTGGGAAACTGTCTTAGTGGTTGATGGATGTGGGAGGGTCCAAGACACTGTGGGCAGTGCTGCCCTGGGGGCATGCAGGCCTGGGTTGCATAAGGAAGCTAGTTAAGCATGAGGCAGAAGGAGCAAGCCAGTAAATAGGGTTTCTCCGCGGTTTCTGCTCGAGTTCCTGCACTGACTTCCTGATGATGGACTGTAACCTGTCAGCTGAAATAAATCCTTCCCTCCCCAGGTTGCTTTGGGTCATGATATTTATCACAGCAACAGAAAAGCAAACTAGAACAATGTCTGAGAAACATTTTTAAGTTGTTTAGATGGGTTACATTCTTCATGAGTAAGACTTTATTTGAAATGTATTTTTGTGTGTGGCTTACTAAAAAGATATAGTTTAGTTTTCCATAGGTAATAGGAATACTCCT